AGTACAAGAACTTGTGGGCACTCAATGAAATTGCTGAGCAGTTGGTTCGCCCAAAGAGTGATTAACACATGGAATTGACTGCCACAGGAAGTGGTGCCCAGTGTTCCCTCTAAGCTGAGTTTGTGTGAGCTAGCCCACAGGTTTTTAGCCTCCAGCTTACACATTTGTGTCTTAGCTCAGGAGGGAGGGCTCCAGAGCAAACTAATTTATGTGGCAGCCAAATCGCTCGCTCACAACTTCAATGCCAGTGGCTCACAAAGTAAAATTTTTGCTCACAGGACTCCACAGCTTAGAGGGAACATTGGTGGTGCCGGCTACAAACATGGATAGCTTCAAGAGGGAATTAGATGAGCATATGGAGCAGAGGTCCATCAGTGGCTATTAGCCACAAGGTATAGATAGGGGCTCTGGGGCAAGTGATGCACTGTATTCTTGGTGCTGGGGGGGGGCAAAAGTGGGAGGGCTTCTAATGTCCTGGCCCCACTGCTGGACCTCCTGATGGCACCTGGTATTTCTGGCCACTGTGTGACACAAAGTGTTGGACAGGAGGGGCCACTGGCCTGATCCAACATTGGCTTCTCTTATGTTCTTACAAGCACCACATATTATTTTATGCCCAACAAATTTTGATTACACATACTCTTCAAAATCATTGGCCACTGGTTGCCCAACAAATAAGAGGCTGCTTTACACTTTTGAGAGAACACCTCATTTGTAGTGCTGCTGCAAAGAAGTGAAAGCTTTTTGGCACCTTCTGGAGATTCTACTGGTTTTTTTTTAACTTGAGGACCAGCACTGATGCTCTCTTTCCATTTTTCAGCAGCACTCCATGAAAACCCAAGGCGGGCATCACCCACTCCCTGGACAAAGCCAAAAATCCATTGCTCCTGACCACTGACTAGAACCAGTTAGGTTATCTGTTCAAGAAAATGCTTCTTGGGCACAATTTATCAGCAGTTTCTATCCTACTAGTATTGAATAACCAGTAAAGAAGATTGCACCTGAAAAATACAGGTAAGAAATACTTTTACAAAGAGCTGATGAACTCACAACCCACAACACCAAACCACTGCCTTACTGACTCTGAAGAAATGTGCATGTAACATGAAAGCTTATACCCAAAATATAGCTTTGTTTTAAAGGTGCCACTGGACTCAAACTTTGTTTTGCTGCTTCAGACCGATATGGCTACCCAGCTGAACCTGACTCACACTTTGTAATACATAAAGCATCTGCAAATGTTCCGTGTGTTAGCTACAGAAGTATAGCACCATGCATACCTGACTACTTTAAAAGGAACATCTGAACCCTGAAATGATCAGATATCTTATATCAATGGACATTGTTTCCTTTTAACAGATCAGCGAACACTAAAAAGATACAGAGTCAGTCATCAAATTAAGCAGTTAATACAGTATAGGGTTATGTAATGTGAGCACCATGGCAAGGAATTGTATTCATGTTCACGTCCAACAGAGGACTAAGAAATAGCTGCAAATGAGATTGTATTTCTGGAAGTAAGATATGAACACATGAAGCTGCTTTCTACTGAATCAAACTGACAGCGGTTTCCTAACATCTCAGGCAGAGAAATTCCACACCACCTAATACCTGGTCCTTTTAACTGGTGATGTAGGGGACTGAACCTGGGACCTTATGCATACAAAGCAGATGCTCTACCACTGAGCCACAGGTCTTCCCCTATGGAAAAGACTGGACGAGAGCAGGCACAAAAAGCCACTGGAAGTCTTCCGTGACAAAAAGGATTAAATAGGAGAGCTCTAGATGCAAATATTTTGCTAATGACAGATATCCCATCATGTTGTATGACTGACAATCTCAACAGCCACAATGATAAATCAGGGGGCACAACTTGTGCTGTGTTCTCATTTATTCTATAACCTGTGGCAAGGCACTCATGATTATTAAAAACTTGCAAGGTATGAGTATCTCTGAGAATAAATTAATGGCAGAACTATGCATACCTTCCTCATTATTGTGCTACTCCCCTTCTCTTGATCACGGAAAGTAGCTGCAGTGGCTAAGGAGAGCAGATAATTGGTGGCAGCAGTGGCTGCTTAACTCTTTCTTTGACTGCTATATGTGTGATCAAAATCACCCCTCCTCCCCTGATCTTCCCAAGACAATGGCCCCGGGCACACGGGCTGGAAAATGCGCGCCGGGGGGGGGGAGGTGTGGCTAATTGCCCCGGAGGAAAATAACGCGCGGCAGCCCGATCAGAAGTCCTTTCGAGGTCCCGTGGGTAGGCGTCAGGTGTAGATCAGATGGCTAGTCCGCAGCGCGGCAAAGAAGCAGCACAGTGCGTTCAAACCGGCACTCGAGCCGCGCTGCTCCTGTGGCAAACGCCACTACCTGTTTGTGCGCATGTGCCGTTGGGCGCTTTTCCGCATGCTGCGGAGACTTGGGGGGGGAAATCCCCTTGGTCGCGACAGAACATTGGCAGCCGCCAGATGCCACGATAGTCCACCAGAAACGCGGTCAGATGCCCGCCCTTGCCCCGCAGTTTCTGGAAACTAGTACCTCGTAGGTACTAGTTTTTAACTCCGCACCTTCGGCGGGGAGCCACGGGAGCACTGCGCTTCCCAGATGTTGGGGTGTGATCGCGCCCGCAAAATCCGCGGGACTCCCATGCCTCTCCCGCGGCAACTCTGCCGTGTGACTGGGGCTATAGTAGATTTGAGGAATGAGGCAGGCAAGTAACTGATCAGGGGGAAGTTACTGATCCCCCTCATTTCCCACTTAGCTCTCAAGCCACTCCTATTTGCATGATAAGAAAGTAGCTTGTATGATAAGAAAATAGCTTAAGTGGTTCTAAAATACTGGGTGCTCCTTCACCACCTTGATCAAGCAAATCTTCCACTACTGTTGATGTGGTTCTATCAGAGCTGACATGGTACTTAGGAGTATAGTATTTTATACTGTTGTTTTAATCTGGTTTTAACTGTGTTCTCTTTTATACTGTTGTTACTGCCCTGAGACCGCCCACAGGGAAAGTGGGATATAAATCCAAATAAATAAATAAATACATGTTTTCAACATATTTTGCCAAAGCTATTTTATCTCTTTAATACTTATTTATTTGGATATGTCAACCACTCTCCTCTGGAAACTGGGCTCAGGGTGGTGTACAACATGCTCACAAAAACATCAGTTAAAACAAAAGTTAAAAACCAATAAAAACCAACAGTTTAACTAAAGATGGTGCTAAAACCCCAAGAGCTCCACTTTCTCACAGGAGGGCAGGGGGTGGGAGTGCCATAATGGAACCGTCAGTGTCCTCAACCAAACACCTGCCAGAACGTCTCTGACTTGCAAGTCCTGCGGAATTGTAATAAGTCCCACAGGGCATGGATGTTGTTTGGCAGAGAATTCACTAGGTTGGCTAAATGAACAGACTACAGCTGATCTGTTTCTCTCTTTACTTCTCTGCTTAATAGCTGGTTTCCCCAAGCAGCCACCACTTAGTAGAGAGCCAAGACAAGATAAACACACACAGAAAGACAGCAGGGGCTCCTCTTTCACTGTTGTATGTGACTTCTATCCAATGCTCCCTCTAAGCTGTGGAGTCTTGTGAGCAAACATTCTACTTTGTATGCTACTGGCATTAAAGTGGTGAGCGAGCGATTTGGCTACTGCATAAATTAGTTTGCTCTGGAGCCCTCCTTCCTGAGCTAAGGCAAAAATGTGTGAGCTGGAGGCTAAAAATCTGTGCGCTAGTCCACACTAACTCAGCTTAGAGGGAACACTGCTTCTATCCTCTGGAGAGTTTTTTGTACCTGCTGGTGGAAGAACTGACAGGTAGAACTCTCACATGGTAAATGTAAAACACAGCTAGATTCCTGGAACCTATGTATATATTACACAAAAATGAGATATAGAGGTCTAAAATTCTGGAAAACACTACTTTAAAGTGGAAAAGGAGAGAAGAGATCCACATTGTTCAGCACTAAACATAAATGACTCTTCTATGTGTTGTATTCTCTGTATTCTACTATCCATAAGGAGTCTCAAGAGAAATATTCAAAAACTGTTACCCACCCCCTTCCATCTATCATATCCTTCCTCCAAGAAGCTCTATGTAGCCCACAGAGTCTTTTATCTTCACAGCAAACCTCTGAAGTAGGACAGACCAAGTAAGAGAAAAAGATGTGACTGGTGGGGATGTGAACACAGCTGTGCCGATTCCTAAACAGGCACGGTAGACCCAGCACCAATGTGAACTTTCAGCTGTCCAGAACGTTACCACTTGCACAAGCCTCACCTGCACAGCAGAGGCTACCAGATCCATAAGTATGTCTCAAAAGGACTTCCGAGATGCAGCCACGACACCCCACCCGCCATCCAACGCTCCCTCTAAGCTGTGGAGTCTTGTGAGCAAAAATTCTACTTTGTGAGCTCCTGGCATTAAAGCTGTGAGCGAGCGATTTGGCTACTGCATAAATGAGATTGTTCTGGAGCCCTCCTTCCTGAGCGAAGGCAAAAATGTGTGAGCCGGAGGCTAAAAAACTGTGAGCTGGCTCACACTGACTCAGCTTGGAGAGAACACTGCCCCCATCCATTTAAAAACTGGGGGAGGGGGCTTGTCCTCCGTGCCTCGCTCATGCAGAAGCATTCGGTTGGCCGTGGCGTAAAACAGGCTCCTGGACTAGAGCGCCTGCCTGGTCTGATCAAGCCCGACAAGTCTGACGTTCTTTTCGTTCATGCCCCCCCCCCCCATGGATCGACGGGTGGGGGGTTCTTAAGGGAAGGCGGGATTCACTCGGGGATTCTCCCGTTGCCTGGAAACACGCCGACAGAGAGACCACCCCCGCCCTGCTCTCCCTCCAGCCCGCCTCCTTCCCCCCCCGGCGCCCCCCGCCTCCCTTCTCCTCTCCCCCCTCAGCCTCGCTCTCCCCGCCCGCGTCCACCCAGGCGCCGCCGCCTCCCGGCCTCTACCTCTCCTCGGTCCTCCCCCGCCGGCCCCCTCGCGCGCCCCTCACCTGCACTTTCCGCCGCCCCGCCGTGTTCTGTCGGTGATGTGCCGCCATCTTGCATGTTGACACTCTGTCGTCATGTCCGAGGAAAGGGCTTCAGCCGGCCCGGAAGTTCCGCCTCGGGCCCCGCCTCCTTCTCCCCCCTTCCCAAACTCCAGCCGGCAAGCGCGCTTGGGGTAGGGAAAGTGGGTGGGGTTTGATACCGAGCGGAGGCGTGGTTTGCTCGGTTGCCATGGTAGTCGCAACTGCGCGAGGCGGGGCGCCTAGGAGGGAGAGGCGGCGACGATGACGCGAGAAAGGGGGGCGGTTACCTCGCGAGAGCTGGGGGGAGGAAAGGGGGGGGGGGAGGTAGGAAAAGGTGACGGTTACGACGGTTAGAACCTACATGGCGCGCGCCGTTGGTTCAACCGACAGATGAGGGGCTCGCGCATGCGCGCCTCAGAATCTCTCACCTTCGCTGGTTTTTCCGCCGTTTGTGTCTGTGGGGTGAAAGGAGCTGCTGGTGTTAGGCTGTTTAAAGAGGCTCTGTGTTCCCCTTGCCTGATACCCTGGGGGTTCTCTCAAAAACAGATTTCTTGATGTGCCCCTTTATGGGTTTCCTTCATTTTTTTTTTTTTTTTAAGAAGGACAGGGTGCTGCCATGCTTTTGTGTTTGCAGCTGTAGCCCTAATGGGGATGGCCCAGGCAGGGGTGTAGCCAGAAAAGTTTGGTTGTTGGGGTATTGGGAAATCCTGTATGGCTCGACCAACAAATTTGTTTGTTTTAAAGCAGCTAATGGGAAAAACATCCTAGTGAACATCACTCAATGGCCCAAACCCAGAAGCAATGTAATTGTATTATTTGCTGACTGAAATGTAACCCCTCCTCCAGGTCAGCCCTTAGAGATTGTTCTGTGGTGGCTGAGGTAGAGTTTGCAGGTAGCTGCTGATGGGCCAATGCAAAATCTACAATTAAAGCTGTGCCTTACCCAGGCCTGTAGCCAGGATTTTGTGGCTTGTGGGTCAATTTATTTAGATTTATATACTGCCCTCCCCAATGGGCTCAGGGCAGTATACAACAGTTGAATATATAATTAAAACAGTATTAAAATAACAGTTTACACATAAAATCGTAAAATACCGTGTAACTATAAAAATTGTCAGAATCAGGCCACTGGACAATTGGCTGGGAAAAGTTAGGGCCAAAGAAGCTGGAAGTGGGGAGAGGGGGACGTCCGCTGCCTCAACTAAATGTCCAAGCAGAAGAGCTCCGTCTTGCAGGCCCTGCGGAACTGCGATAAGTCCACGAGGGCCCTGATCTCACACAGGAGCTCATTCCACCAGGCAGGGGCCAGGGCTGAAAAAGCCCTGGCTGAGGCTAGTTGGATGTCCCTGGTGTTATATGCACAGTTTATGAAACACTTTGTACTCTGCCACCAACTAACAGGTTTAACTTAATAGGTGCACTTAGCACTTCCATGGTGTATATGTTAAGTGCCATTTATGATTCTAACATCATTAATGTTTTCAGGTATTAACTTTGGTTCATTTGTGACTGTTGTTTGGATGCATGCTGGGAAGGTAAAATGCTGAAGCTTGTGACCTTGCTTGTTATGGCCAGCTGTAACTGCGCATGTTGTCAGTTAGCTTGCGTTAGATGGAAACCATACTACACAATGTACCCATACCTGTTACATTAGATACTTTTCATCACTTCATAGCCTTGGAAGAAGAAGGCCCATTGTTCTACTGAAGGAGATATATTTTTGCCTGAGAAAGTCAAACCTACAGGCCTGGGCCCAATCAGAATGGTGTGACAGATATATGACAAAGTTTGATGGAACCAATAATTATGATTTATTTCTAACTGTCATAGGGGGTATAAAACTTTATGTCTCCCATTGTAACCTTAGGGAGAGCTGTGGGATCCAAAACATTATTGGATCTGCACCTTCCTCCTTTGTTGATTTTTCTCTACAGGATTGTACTGAGTGTTTTCTCAAATTGGGCTGGGGAAACACACACACTCAGACAGGATTATTTTCTGTACATCACTGGGGCCGGGAACCACTAACAGATGTTGCTTTGTGGACCTCAGGAGCCTCCGGGGCTCATATGGGGTGAGGCAGTCTCATAGATATGCTGGCCCCTGGCCATATAGGGCTGGTGGGACTGTAGTTCTCAGTACAGAAAGAAAAGCCAGAATTCTGAGTCTTCTCAAGCTGTCTATTCTACATAGGTGTTCTTAACCATCTAGCCAATAGAAAGCTGTTACAGGATAGAGCTCTACATTGCAAGCTGTCAGCCACTTTAGAGGACAGTTCCCAGCTGCTGCAAGTTAATCACTTCTGCCAGCCTGAGCAGCAATTCTGATAACAAGCCAGCAGGTGGAGTGAGGACTTCTATAAGAAAGCTAACAGGCAGAAAAACTCTTGTAAAGGAGACCAGTTTTTTGACAGAGTTCGAAGGGATCCTAGAGGCCACCTACTCCAACCCCTTTGCTCAGTGCAGGAATTAGTCAACTACAGCACTCTACTCTGCTTAAAGGAGCACACAGCTTTAAAAATGTTTTTAAATTATTTTTAAAAGTATTTACAGGAGAAATTCTTGTGGGACAGTGCCTTTAAGAAAGGGGGCAGAGCCCCCAAAAGCCATAACTTAGTTACGGCCCTGGCCTTACCTTTTAGCAAAGCCAAACATGGTAACCTAAAACATTGTGCAATTTAGCTGTATGTAGTGGGGGAATGTTCCATGGTGGGGGGAGGGGGGTCACAAAATTGGAATAAGAGGACTTGTCTGAAGACTTACAATCTAAAAGCATGTTTATTTAATAATGTCCTGTGATTTCCACCTCAAAAGGTATCACTAGGTGAAGGGGAGGATAAAAAGCTGTGTGCAAAAAAGCATGTTTCTTTTATTCTGTACAAGTTTCCTATGGGTACAGGATTGGCTACGGCTGCTTCAGCATACACCTCAAGTACTTGCTACAAGCAATGATTAGCCCTTGCCTTGGCCGTGAACAGTTTCATACATCTGGGCTCGGAAATCTCTGCTTGAGGGCACCTAATGAGCAAAACTGTTCTATTGCCTTAGAAACGGAACAGTATCTCTTCCTTGAAGCAATGAGCCGGCCATGGCTTTTCCTTCACCTCATTGTTGCAGGAGGTTCTTTATAAGGGAGCGGTGGCGCAGCTGGTTAGACCCACCTGCTGGTAACATCTACGAACAGCTGCTACAGCTGTTCGAATCCACCGCAGCCAGAGTGAGCTCCTGGCCCTAGTCCTAGCTCCCGCCCACCCAGCGGTTCGAAAGCAATAAATTACATCATGATGCGAGTAGATAAATCGGGTACCTGCCTTAGATGGCAGGGAGCACCTTTCCCCATTAAGGGGGTGGAACATCGGCAGCGAGTGAAGAACCTTGATGGCAGTAGCGGCGAGTGGCGAAAAAATGGGGATCGAGCACAACATCGGCTGTGACCAGGCGGAGCCAGGAGACGCAGGGGAGCATCAGGCGCAGGCGGAGCCACGATGGACGGAGCCAAGGCCGCGCCAATACGAACCGTGCGCCGAATGGACCTGTCATGCCTGCCCCTGCTGATGTCATGCCTGCCTTTGCTGATGCCCCTGAACAGGCTCCTGAGGACCCTGAACAGGCTCCTGAGGACAGTACTGCAGCAGAAAGGCAAAGACTGGATCCTGTAGCTGAAAGCTATCTAAGTGGTGAGGAGGATAGAGCCTCCCAGGGAACACCTGCAAGGGATCAGTCTCTGCTGCAGCCCAGTAATTCATCATCAGACTCGCCTCCACCTGTAACCAGGCTCAGGAATGTAAGAAGACAACAGCTGAGAGAGCGAAGGCAGAATGCACGCATGCGTGCCAGAAGATCTCTTAGCCCTGATTACTGACAGGATCCTGTCCTCACTCCTGGCTAGCTAATTAGTTGATTAGCTAGCACTGTATATATGCAAGTCTGTTGCCAGCAGTCATTTGTGCTGGCAAACGTCGTTTGTTCAGGACCTGAATCCTTGCATCTCTGCTCCAGACCTTGTGGAATTCTTCTCGGCTTGATCCTCGGCTTTTGACCTTCGGCTTTGTTGACCCTGCGTTCATCTCTGACTCCTCTGGTATTGTTGTGATTTATGGACTTGAAACTTTGGTATGTCTGACCCTGCTTTTGGACTGTGATTTAAACCTGCTTGAACCTTGCTACCTGATTTGCCCGGCTTGACCTCGGACTGTTCCTGGACTTTTGCTTGCTTGCGTCACGCCCCCTGGTCCTGCCGTGACAGGACCTACCAGCCAACACCGAGGATCGCAAGAAGGAGAACGGAACAGAGCGCCGAGCCAGCAATAGCCAGCAGCCGAACCAGGAGTGGGAAGTACAACAACTCCTTCCACAGGGTGCCGGTAGGGCAGTCCCCACCCCAATTTAAAAAATGTGGCCATAGATAGGGTTAGTTAAGAATACTGTAAGCTGCTCAGAGACCTCTGGGGGGGGTTCGAGCAGGATAGAAGCCGAAATAATAAATAAATATAAGCACCCACATTTGCATCTGCAAGGGCCCCCTTTGGGAAGCAGCAGCTTCTGTTATAGAAGGATGCTTGGCTTGGAACATTTTGTGTGGCAGCCATTTTGTGCTGTTACCCACCACCCCTTCTCAAAATTCCAAAACTGCTTGCATGGTCAGCAAGACTGGGTGCCCCTTCATTGCATTTGGAATATTTCAGATGCATTCATAAAACCCAGAAACAAATGCCCTTCCACTACAGTTGCCAACCTACAGGTGGGGCTTGGAGATTCAGAATTACAACTGGTCTCTGGATTCAAGACCAATAGCACCTTAGAGACCAACAAGATTTTGGGAGGTATAAGAAGAATCAACACTTCCTTCATCAAACTACAGGGATCAGTTCAGAGAAAATGGCTGCTTTGGAGGGTGGACTCTGGTATTATACACCACTGAGGTCCCTCATCAAATCTCATGCCCCATCCCTAAATCTCTTGAAATTTTAAATTTCATAACTTGGAGCTGGCAACCTTTCACAGACTACTTTACTCATCATTCTTTCCTCCTTGTGCCCTTAAACCTAATTCCCTTCTCTGGTCCCGGTCACACGGAGAATTTGCCGCATGAGAGGCATGACTGTCGGGCAGATTAAAAGGGCGCGATCATACAGCAACATCTGGCAATCGTCACGCCCCTGTCTCCAACCCGTAGCGTCCAGCCGAAGATGCGGAGTTTAAAAGTAGCTGGGAAAGTGTAGTATTATCTGGAAAACACGGGGTGCGGGCGGGCATCTGATCGCGGAAGCGCTGGTATCTCGTTGCATCCGGTGCCCGTCCATGTCCCACTGGATGTTTCCTTGTAAGCCTCCGTGGTATGCGCGCACACACGCACAAATGCGGTACTGCTTCGTTGCCACGCTTCACCATCACTGTGTGATCAGCAGCTGACGGCCTGAGCACAGAGCCTCAGGGGAACGTCGGATTGTGATACC